TTTCGAAATTTCTTTGATCCTTCTACTACTTCTAAATCTTCCTTTTTAGTCTACTTTATTTATTTTAAAATATAAAGTAGGCTTATGAGATCACTTCGCTGTTTGTGTGTCTGTATATGTATTTCCCTAATAGCTCCTTAATGCATAAACCAGTCTTTATGAAGACATATGGGATAATGAAGGTAAAGCGCCACGCATTCCAATCTCTGCGCTGGTTGGAAATGACTGATCAGATTCAAGTTGCAGCTGCTTTGCCAATGGGGAAAGAGACAAAGAAACACATTTGATGACAGGTCGGGAGAGGGGGTAAGTAGGGCCGGCCTGGTCGGGGCCTCAAAGGAAAAGATTCATGTCCGTGTCAGGAATCAAACCCCGGCATTCCATCCAGTTTGCAGTTGCTTTGTTGACTGAGCTAATATCGACTTTTAATATGTTTTTACAGTAACAGAATTTGTAGTTTCATAAAGCAGAATATTTCTGTATTTTCAACAGTGGATTAAAATGAACATCAAGACAATTGAACGATGAAAAATTGCGAAGAACGCATTCGAATTCCCCCCCCCCCCATTTCAGCAGCTGATACAAATAAGTTACGTGGCTGAAATGGCGGTCTGCTGGATAACAGAGTAGTAAGTCCTTCTTGTGTGCAGGCTTAATTAAAATTGATCTAATTCACTGCATCCTTTGCATGGTTCGAGAGTTACTGTGTAGTTGTTTGAGCTTTTACTCTTGTGTACATTCAGTACGCCAAATTGGCTTAATAGGGCGAATATGGACAAGCTGTAATGCTCCTTTCATTCGCAAGGAATGGAGGTTAATAGGGTTTTGATGAGTGGCAAGGCCGCGCCATAGCTCAAGCGGTTAGTCGCTAGCTTCCCACCGCGGCGGCCCGGGTTCGATCCCGGGGTCTGGTCAAGTTGGATTTGTGGCGGAGAAAGTGGTTCTGGGGCAGGATTTCTCCGAGTACTTCGGTTTCCCCTGCCAATCTTCATTCCACCAATTGCTCCACAATCATCCTCACCTATCATCTGGGGCTGGTAGAATAGGCCAGAAGTGGCCGCAGTAGAAGGGCTCTAGTCCCACCCCACTAGCAATAATAATAATTTGGAGAGTGGCGATTTCCTAATAATAGATGCCTAAAGAGGACATAACTTTTACCTTCTCAGTGATCGGTAGTAGAAAAATAGGAAGTGTCATACTTGAGGTCTTCACGGCGGTGAATATTAAGATTATGGCACTTTCGATTGTGACACCCTGCAGTTTAATAGATGGTGCCAAACTGCACGATGATACATCGCATAAGATTATCACCTTCGGACAGAAATAGGTTGTGAAGGTGTGAGTTGGATGACATTTTCTAAAATGTTGCCATGACGAAGTTTTTCAGTCGAACTGCTAAAATAATTGATGTGACAAATTCTATAATCATAGAAGGAAAGGTGGTAGCGTATTTGGTTGCGGCATTATGCTATAAGATGGAAGGTCCCGGGTTTGAGTCCCAATGAGGTGGATTCTTCAATTTACCCAATCCTTCCAGCCTCAATATGGCCCTGGGGTCGATTCAGCCTCTAACATAAATGAGTACCAGGAATCTTCCTGGGTGATAAATGGCAGCAGGCGCTTAAGGTTGACAAACTTACCGCCATCTGTTGAGCCGATTGTCTAGAGAAAATGTGGGAGCCTCGACGTCTCACAACACTAGGGGCCTTCACGGCCTGTTATAGGAACAGCTTTGCTTTGAAAATGAAAGGTAGGCCCATCTCTTGTCATGGAAATATATAACAAAAATCCGTAGAAACTTATGTTCTTCGCACATAACAGGTGGAGTTTTGTTAGGTAGGTGCTCATTGCAAGATTGGCTTGAACACCGACTCCCCTAGCTGAGATGTTTCGTGGTTTCCTTCAGTCTCTCCAGCCAATTTTGTGATAGTATCTCAATTAAGCCATAACCGCTTCCTTTCAAATCCTTTCCAATTCATCACTCATTACTATATAGTCTAGTTACTGCAAGCGTTGTTAAATAACCTATGGAAAGAAAAGGGTTCTCATGACGATGAACTGAAGATTACTGTCTTTCGAGATGGACGCCGCTTGATCTCTAGATGTAGGTACCAACTTATAAACCTTATAAATCAGGTTCTTTTATGGATCAGTATAGATGAATATCGAAGTTGTCGGATAGCTTTACTGAGAGTTTTCCACAGAGAATTTTAAGAATATACGAGTATGTCCAACGGTATAGGTAGGTATACTAGGTCACAGACGGACAGACATGATCTGTACATAAGGCGTTCTTTTTATCCTACTTTTCTAAAGCAGGCTTATGTGATCTCCATGCTGTCTGTGTGTCTGCGTATTTGTGTGCCTGTATACCTGTGTATAAGTGAACCTCCCACTGTTAAATTGTGAATGTATGAAGCAATCTTTATGGACCTTGTTCACTCCTTAAAGAAAGCCTAATATTTAGAAATTTAGTGATCGATTTTTGTGAACACTTTCCATTAGTTCTGATTTCCATTACATTACATTTGAAGTAAAAAAAGTAAAGCTATCCCTGTAACAGGCTGTGGAGGCCCATAGGGTTGTGAGACGTTGAGGTTCCCACATTTTCTAGACAATCGGCTCATAGATGGCGGCAGGGTTGTCAGCCTTAAGCACCGGCCGCCCTTTACCCCCAAGAATATTCCAAGAATATTCCTGGTACTTATTTCTGTTAGAGGTTGAGTCGACCCCTACGCCATAGTGCGGCTGGAAGGATTAGGTCAATTAAAAAATCCAGTGACCTCATCGGGATTTGAACCCGCGACCTTTCGACTTGTAGCATAGTGCCTCAACCAACTACACTACCGCGTGCCCCCCATTCCATTACATTTACCGGATATAACTCACAGTTTCGTACGATCGAGATGCTTAGCCACGTTTTTGATTGTTAGCATTTAAAACAAAGAACTAATCGTGTGCCTTCCTTTGATACAACACAGACCGCATAGAAAATTACGCCTCCAACAATTCTTCGTCTTCCTGAGAAAGTGTTTACCGAGCTGTTGCCTAGCAACGATACAGTGATACACAGTCCAGTCCAGTAAACTGCTGCTGGTCGTCATCATCACAGTGATTTTTAATTCCGAGTCCCACGGGACTCATGACCATGTTTTACTGTCTGATGGTTCAGGAAGCCTTCAGACCACTGCTTCGACGGAACATACACGTACACTAAAACTGGGGAGGCAGGCCCTCCTTTGATATGTCACCGACCGTATAGAAAACAACGCGTCCAACAATTATCTATTGTAGCGTGTATTTGTTGCAGTGGGAAAGTGGGAACGGGAGGATTGGGGTTTGATTCTCGGCGGGGATTTTTCTTTTCTCCACTGCGTCTAGGCTGAAACTGAAGCCATCCAGTTTCTTAGCCAATGTGTACCCAGGACTCTTTCCCTGGACATGAAGCGGCCGGTGCGTGAAACTGGCCATTCACAGAGTCGAGATTAAGAATGGATGGAGCTATATCTCCACTTCCCATACGCCTTTATGACGCCGTGTTTAATTAAGTAGAGTGATAATTTTATTTTCAATTTTACTATAAGTCGAGGGATTCCTAATTAGCGTTCTATGATATAGCCACAGGTCAAAGGTCAGTCTTGTGTCAGCAGCAGGGTCCGTCTGCCAACTGAAGAAACAAAAGGCATGTAAGTAGTTGCTGGGCAGTAATTGACAAGCGGAAGAAAACTAACTACGCCTCTCGCCACGCAAGTGTCTAGAATGGCCATGCAGACAGACAGACAGACAGACAGACGGAGTGTGTCCTGGCCTACTGGCAATAGTCCCAGGCGTCAACTGAAGTAGTCCGTGCTGAGAGCTTTCTCTTACACATGCTTCGAAAGAAGAATTCGGTGCGTGACCATCTCAAGAATACAGAGAGAACTGGAGGCAACAGAATTTATATGTTTTACGTTATGTAGCAAAAGTAAAAAGTAAAAGTAAAGCTATCCCTGTAACAGGCCGTGAAGGCCCATAGGGTTGTGAGACGTTGACTGCCCCACATTATCTAGACAAGTGGCTCAAAGATGGCGGTAAGGTTGTCAGCCTTACGCCCCGGCCGTGCTTTACTCCCCAGGAAAATTATTTAATTAATCCCTTTAATTAATTCTTTGGAAATTAGACAATCCTGTTTCAAATTCTTAGGATTTTGCAACGATAATTTTTATAACAAGGTCGTCAGCAGTATATCCAAACTCTAATCTGGAGGACCAGGTCCCTGTAATTATGTTCCGCAGTGACGGAGTGGCCCAGTTATACCTCCAGGCACAGGGTTCCCTTTTCGTCACCTTCTTCAACTTGCAGAGATAATGTGGAGGTATTCTAACCCGTCTTCATGCAGGAATAAAAGATTCTCAGTGAAGAATAAGGTGTGCAGATCTGAGGGTGAATATGTCGGTGCTGGCTGATTCTGACACTCTAGCTTCGAAAATTTGGCCCCAAAATATGAAATTGTGATTTTGTCGAAAACGGCTGTGACGATTTTGCTTAAATTTCTTTATTCGATGAATAACTTATGCCCAAATAATAATGCATATGCGGTATCTTCAGGAAATAACAGTATGTACACTAGGAGCCCATATGTGAAATGTCAATTTCTGGAAACTGATTTTACCATCAGACGTGATTCATTGCTGTGCAGCATTCAGCAACCAACAGTGATCTATAGAACAAACATTTCATTTCGCGTTTAAACCAACGTAGTCTAGACTAATCCTGCATGAAAGGTATGTGCAATGTCTGCAATGTCATTTTATCGATTTTTTTATTGGGTTGGATGTTGAATGTCAAAATAATATCACAAGTGAACCTGGCCATAACTCCTTTAGTTAATTAATCAATATATCTGTGTCATAATTATGTTTCGGAAGATTTACTGCATCACACAATTTTTTCGCGATAACCATGTATGCCACGACATAAATCAGAATACTGTAATAAGATAATTTATGTTTGTATTTCAGTGTTCAGAGGGCTGTCAGTCTTGGCAGAGAGCACTTGAATCCAACTGCCAGATTGTTTGTGTAAGTATCACATGATGACAATGCTGCCATTACTAAAGATATATTGAGCAAATATGAATAAAATATTCTTTGTAGCCGAAAGAATTGATCCGGATTCCGCATCACACATCACATCCATATGGAGTCGCTCGGCTCTTAAAGGTTAATATTGTGGCGCTGTCAGTCCAGTATATGCAAAGATAACCAATAAAACACCACAGAAGTATAAGATAATTAATATTTGAAGAACACCATATTCAGTATTTAATCCAGGTAGTAGTAATGTTTAATCTCTGGAATATTTAATCATTATAATAATCATTGCCCATGACAATGGGCGCGCTGTCTAAGGCATGAAATATCTTCGCCCGCCAAAACACGGGATCGTTAGTTCGAATCCCACTCGAGATATAAATGTTTGTCTGCGTTTGTTCTGTGTTTATGTTGTCATGTGTAGGTAACGGCCTAGTAACTGGCTGATCCCCCGTCCAAGGAGTCACAGAGCAAAGTCACATAATATTGGAAGGCTATATTTGAAGGTTCATCAGTAAGACAAATGAAATGTTAGATGTGTTCAAATTGCATGAAAGTGTTATTAATTAAACAACAATTACGATGCAATGGGAAAAAGTTATTTAGAAATGTCACTTAAAAACTATTCCGAAACTAATAAAGAAGCCCGTCTCCCCATCTTACACCCCCAGGTTTTCAAATATGGGGAGGTTGTAAGACTACATACATCTGCTTCACTGGATGTGACAGACGCTCCAAACACTCGTGGTTCACAGACATTTGAGGTTTTAAATTTAAACTGTAAATTAAGGCAATTCCTCAACAAAGGAAGGACAAAATTGGGAACACTATGGATATTAAGCACTAGAATACGAAAAAATATAAATTAAATTTATTGTTACAAACTGTGAAAGGAACGTAATATACAGATTTGAAACAGCTACTCAAAAAGTTTTCTTCCCACTTTCCTCCATATCACTGCAATTCGGTCTGAGCCCCCTTTGTTGCATTCACAATGTCCGTCCGGTATTCAAATTCCCTGAAAGCGTTGCCTCACATTTGAGGCGGGATTCCTTCCATGGAACGGACAATACGATAAAACAAACTTCGTGTGTATAACTTTGATAGATCCGCTGTCATGTGGTGAAAGCCGTGTTCAATTTCTCAGTAAAAATGTTTAAAAAATATGCACTCGTTCTTGGACACCTCTAACTACCACAAGAATTCTGGATCAGCCAGTAATATAAGTAATGTTAAACATTCGGTAAACACCGCAGCGCTGTTCTTACTTAATTATAAATATGAAACCTTCCTACGCCATATTTAAAAGCCTCAATTGTGTGACGTGTATATCCATTGCTAGGCAACGGGTCGGTGCACACTTTCCCGCAGAAGCAATCGCGCGAAACAATAGGACCTCTACTGCTACGCAACGGAGCTGTAAACATTCATCCTTAATAACACAAGACGGTGTTTTCAGTGGGATCCCCGCAAAGTGGTTATAAAAATTGTTAGGCAGGACAGTAATATACAATAAGAGAAACAGAGTACAGCGGAGTACAGAACAGTAGTCGGAAGAGAATTGGGTCGCGTTCTGGTGATGGAAGTCGAAGGTGATTGAGAAGAAATAGCAAGACAGGAATTAGACTGTGACCAGAAGACTTCACGTGTGATTTGAAGTGTCAGTGAGACTGTGATAAATCCGTTGCCAGTAGACCAGTGAAAGCTGAGAATCCTAGTGAGTGTGCAAAGGTGAACTGTAAAGAGCGTATAATAGAGATAGCGCTGTATTGCCTGTAGTCCCGAACTGAGTGAATGTATACGGTGCAATAAATCCAATCATCCAATCCAAAAACCGTCTTATAAGTCACCCCTAAACGTGATAATTTGGTGTCAGAATTAGGATTGGATTGATTGATGACTGCACTGTGTAATTACAGCGTCATATCACGGAAAAGGAACAAACGATGGCATGCCTGCAGGCCAAAATGAAAGTCACGCAAGAAAAGACAGACGCCAATTTCAAGGAAATGATCGCCAGACAGGAACGGACGATAAACCGGATGGATACCTGGCTAGCAGAAAAGAGACGACGGCTTGCCAGGAAGAGACGGCGGCCTATCAAGAAAAGATAAAGGCAAATCCAGAGGAAATGAAGCCTGAGGCGGAGTATGAAAAGGTCCCTAAGAAAGAGTCCGCAGTGAAACCTGTCAGAGCACTGAAGAAGTGGAAAAAGGGCCATCATCTAGCCTCAGGCCGCCACGGGAAATCAAAGGAACGGACTCAGGGCAGTGGTGTGTGCCGGAAGAAATTGGCCTCATCCCACAGACTTTATATATATCTTATGTTAACCTTTTTAACAATTTAATAAAACCACTATAATTTATGTTTCTTATGTTATCATTTAATAGAAGAATATATTACATTTTTCATTGCAAAAAATGGATTCATCATGTCTGATGTTCAGTGAGAGTGAGTTTTATTTATTTATTTACTTGTTTCCACACCATCTGATAATGGTCCGCGCGACCGAAACATGCAGTGGTCGATTGGGACACTAACATTGATTACACAATTTATATTTTTATTTTAATCGATTTTTTTTTTAATTTATTTACTTCGTTGTGTTGACGGATCCAGTACCTCGAAGCATCGATTGCCCACAGAATATTATGTAAAAGAGCTCGTCTGCAGCATGTTGATGTAGCCGTTCCCAAAATTGCATCCGTCCAGCACGATCGCCACGAAACAGGTGTGCGCTCCGTCTGTAGCGACGTGGATGTAATTGATCGTCGCGAAGCACGTAGAGAGCCCTCCGTTGTGATAGTCCCAGTTCCCGTCCGATATCGCACGAGGTTCATCACAACTCTCGTTCCACAGATGCAATTGTAACATCTTCATTGGCTGATGTCCGTACCGTCCGTGGGCGACCTGCATTCACGTCTGCCGTAGGCGGTACACTTCCTGTCTCATGGACCTCATGGAGACGCTGCTCCAGTTGTTGAAACACGTTAGCGTATGGATGACTTCGACCAGGATATCATAGCGTGTATTCCCATGCAGCAGTAGCAGGTCGATTGTTACACGCAGCGAAAGTTAAGGACATGCTGCAGTTTTCGTCGTATGTTTATTCCGTAATCATTCAATCATAATTGACACCTGCTGTGCACTGTGTGGATTCAGTACACCTAGCAATGCCCTATGTGCCGTCGTGGCAAATAACACTTCTGAAAACTATATTGCCCCAATTGTCGGTGACGTGTATCTAAAAAAAAAAAAAAAAAAGCGTCTCGGGACACTTAACTTTATAATGTTTCCCACTTGCCCCACCCTCTCCCCCTTAACAAGGCTCACAGGAATAAATGAAATGAAATAAAGTGTGGCCTTGCCGCAAATTTAAATTCTGTTCAAATATCCATAATCACATTGGATAATGTTCCAGAATTCTTGAAATTTTGTGGATTAGTTTGAAATAATTATTGCATAATGAGTTTTACAGCTGCTCAGTTTGCAATCTAACCTTCCAAAGTTCAGTTTCTCAGTCATGAGAAATATAATCCTTAATCAATGTATTCCCTTATTCCCAGATGACTATTTACTTTAGCGCTTTAACCAGTCTTGCTATTTGTCATTTAAGATTTAGATACAGTTGTCTGGTGAGCAAAATATTTAATCCAGTACTCAGCTATTCTGTTCACAGAAAAACATTATCTGGTACATTAATTCAAAATTGCAACTAATTCTGCCATATTCACTCAAAATACCTGTAAATATAACACTGACTGTTTATATTGAATGTCTGACATGTAACAGAATTGCAAGTAATCCAAGTGGGCGCTTGTAGTAACATAGCAGACACGTGATTACATGAAAGAGTAATTTCCATTAAAAAAAGGTTTCTCAATGTATTGAGGAACTGGTATTTTTAATGATGGGTATAAAATGGACTTCGCAATTTTGAATGTGAGACTGTAAAAATATCTGAGATATTCTTACTATAAAATATGACATTTTGTACAGATAATGTATTTATAAGAGAACAACTGATAGAGAAAAACATTACTTTAATTTTGAAACCCACCTAGACCTTATGGATTTTGAAGTCAACAGAATAATTTTATGGAATATTGTAGGAAAAACAACTAGAGGAATTCAAACTCTGCACTAGAAAACAAAAATTTCTATTGTTCCAAAGGAGAATATAAAGAGATTGTAATAAATCACACGGTAATGCAGTTCAGCCCCAAGTCCTTCTAACATAAAACATTTTNCTCTGCTCTGCTAGTTTGCTTGTGGATTTCTTCTTGTCTTCTACCATGAAAATGGAGGTGATACGTTCCTCCGAAACGTCGGTTAACACAATTTCTACGCGGCGCCACATACCAGAAGAAGGCTTTCTTCAATATGAAGAGAGTTTTAATTTTTTTTTTTTTTTTTTGGTGATTATATGAAGTAATGAAACTGAGCTTCAGAAAGACATAAATGATTACATGAAATTGGTAAACTTGTATTTCTAAAATATACAAAAGAAAACTAAAGTCATGATATTCCTAGGAAAATATTCCATCTGATCATAAATTAGATATTTTAAAGCATTGAAAGTCTCTACCATACTTTATGGAAATCAAACTTAAGTTTCAACCACATGAGATGGAAACAGGAAACGGTCTGTTGAAATTACGTTGAAGATGATTGAAGGATCAGGATAAGGAATGATGACATTACAAAAAAGCCTATTCATGTTTTGTGTAAGGAATAAAAGACATTCACTCATCCAGAAGTGACCAGAACAAATTAACAAAATCCATTCTGAATTACCATTTGTAAGGAAAAGGGGACATTGGTGAACCTCATAAATAATGGACTACAGCCAACACATGCTTCTAAGCTTATTCTTGGAAGGCAGAAATAAAACACGTTTTTTATTCTAATATCAGATTGAGTAAATTTATGTTTTTACCACTGATTGCAGGAACCAGTTTTTCTTGTTATTATCACATTTTTTTTTCTCTCTGATGGCCAATTGATTCACCTAGGTTTCATAAAACATAAAATTTCAAGCAAACATTATTTAGAAAGAACGAGTACAATGTCATTTAGCTTTCCCTTTTGGTAATTAAAGTTGTGTGGCCTTTTGCCTGTATGTTGAGTTACATTTTTTTATTTGTGTATATAATTAATGTGTTTATTTATGGAGATATATATATATATAAAATTTGAAACTATACTTGCACAAAAATAATTTTTCAAATTTTAACTGATAATTTATTATTTTCTGGGAACATATTTAAAAAAGAATCATGCAACAAATGTGTTGACTCATAATTACAAAATATATATTGTAACAAATAAATTATGAAGCATATTCAATAATGAAGAAACATATTCTCTCACACAGAATGGATCCCAAGACCTTCTACATTCCGAAGAACTTTACTGTATCATGGGCTGTAACTATGCACTCAACAGGTATCTGCAAATATTGAAAGGTTAGTGCAGTTTTTCTTTCAAAATATTAGATTCTAAAGGATTCTGACAATGGTGGATAACACACAGGATTACTGGTTTTTGAGACGTTTTCCATCGTACGGAATTCTAGGAAACAGAAAACACAATCTTTCAGAAACTGGATCTGTTTTCATCTTCCTCCCTCACCTGAAGACAGAAACAGACCCAGTTTCCGAAATGTTGTGTGTTCTATTTCCTAGAATGCCAGACGATGGAAAAAGTCCCAAAATCCAGTAATCCTGTGTTTCAAAATATTTCTGTATATAATCAAAGTCATAAATTTAATGTGTTTCTATTCAGCCATTCCTGTTTTTATTCGCTTCATTTCATGTTTATTCATTCAGGTATTTAATAAAGAATTAACTCCTTCAGTTAATGTTCATTCATTAAATTTGTTGCTTGTTCTTCCAAACAATGTTAGGCTTTAACCTGTTCCAGTGACTCATTATCTCAGTGTAAAATATTTCCTTTCTTTCAAGATCATGTTTCATTATAGTTCTTGGTATGCTGTAATCATTCTTCTTTTAAGTCCATCTGTGTGTAACTAACTTGTTACTTGTTCTTGTTCTCTAATTTTAGTTTTATTTTAACTAACAATATGCTTTTTCATATAGGATAATCATTTAGGTATTACTAATAGAGATTTTATTCTTTTTGTCTTTTCTTGTTTGTTTTGACATAAAACTGGACCATTTGAGGCTCTCTTATCTCTTCCAAATAACTGCTAAATCACTTGTGAAAAATAAACTTATTTATAACCTCAGTATTTTACTACATATATGATGCAAGGTCTTAACAATTTTAAATTATCATGTTTTTATTTAATTTAATCTTTATTTACTGTGTATTGCTATAACAGCACATGTACACAGTCCTGCTGGCTGGACATTTTACTGCTGTAATGATGTATGCTCACAGTCCAGCTGATTGAATATTGACTTCCTTCAATACTAACACCATTAATTTTAAATATGTTTTTTAATTCGATTAGTGGGGGGTGGAGTCCAACTGGGTCCAGTCGGCATGGTGGCCTCTGATTGGCCTATTGTAGCCTGCCCTGGGTGATTATGATGATGGATAATTTGGTGGAATGACGATTGGCAGGGGAAACCGAAGTACTCAGAGAAAACTCACCCCAGTGCCACTCTGTCCACCACAAATCCCACTTGACCAGACCCGGGATCCAACACGGGCCACCGCGGTGGGAAGCCAGTGAATAACTGCTTGAACTATGGCGTGGCATTACTAACACCATTACTCCTGAGTCACCCAGACCCCTGCTTGTCAATGTGCTACAATAGAATGCATAGTTGAACCTCACATTATGCATTGATTCTGCAGTTGAAATTGGAACACCTTCTGCTCCTGCACTTGTTGCTGACACCCTCACTGCTACTTCTCTTAGTCTTGAGTGGGAAGGCACCAGGTTCAGCAACATCAGCTACTTAGTTCAGTGGCGGTACGAGGAACTGGCTGGAGCCTGGCAGTACTGTCGCAACCAGAGCTGGGGGCCACATTCCACTGTACTGGTCGAGAACTTGCAGCCCTATACTAAGTATAGGGTAAGTAATTAAATCAAACAATACAATGTCTACTTATTGCTTCCCATTGAGTTAACTGAACAATGTGTTACATAGCAGTAGAAGGTTTGTGGCAACAAATAGGAGAATGATGTGAATTATTTTGAGAAGTACGTTGACAGAAGTTGTCATGGCCTAATTTAAGACACTATTTGAAAGTACAGATTGAAGATAACCACGTTAAGTCTCACTTGGGATAGCTTGCCTTGAGAATAAAACGTGGGGCCACCAAAATCATCATTAACCACTCAATCATGACATATGGTACTGTAACACTAAATACGGTTTTATAATCACAGAAGTTTCAGTTCCATCTAAGATCATCTTATCCTGAATGAATTTGCTAACGAATCCCAATGATAACAGACATGGGAGATGGGCTCCAAGGCATACAAATAATGCTGTAGTGTGTAGAACCATTGATATGCAACAAACTTGAGATGGGCGGTTATATCAGACCCGTTTCTGGGAGATGGTTCACTAAACATGTTCTGTGGCAAAGGTTATTCATGCAACAGGGGAAATGGGGTGTTGTCTATGCGGTCAGCACCGAGGAATTATAAAGAAGAGATGTGGGGTAACAAGTTTTATTGAGCTCTGCAAGGGAGGCTGAGAAGAGACAGTGCTATAGTTGAGTGGACAGTTGACAGTTGACAGGAGGACTTGAGTGCATGAGGCTGAAAGATCTCCATTCGTAGACTCTGTTTGTAGGGAATGGCTGGTGAATACACAGCAGGTTGGAAGAGGCTTAGCAGATGCTGTGGTGATCTGTAAAGTGTGGAAATCAGCTATAACTCTGTAAGTGCTTGTAGTCTTGAGTGGTGTGTATAAGTGGTCAATAAATCCATTCACCAATCCATTCTCCATCTATAGTCACACCCCTAAATTGAGACAATATTTTGAGAACAGGGTGCTGAGGAGAATATTTCAATGAGAGATGAAGTTATAGGAGGTTGGAGAAAACTGCATAATGAGGAGCTTCATAACTTGTACTCTTCTCCAAGTATAATTAGAATAATCAGCTCAGTGAGGATGAGATGGACAGGGCATGGAGCACGAATGGGGAGAGGAGGAATGCATGTAAGATATTGGTGGGAAAGCTGGAAGGAAGGAGATCACTGGAAGACCAAGACATAGGTAGGAGGACGATATTAAAATGGATCTTAGAGCGATAGGTTGCGATAATATGGATTGGACTGATCTGGCTCAGGACAGAGACCAGTGGAGGGCTCTTGTGAACACAGTAATGAACCTTTATGTTCCATAAAATGCTGGGAAGTTCTTGAGTGGCTGCACAATTGGCAGCTTCTCAAGAAGGGCTCAGCTCCATGAGTGAGTGGGTGAGTATTAAAATGTTATTACTGGAAATAGTGGTGTTACTCTAGTAATATTTTGAAATTAATGTGTTTGTTCCAGTTCCGGATTGCTATTCTCCTGTCACGTCATAGCACACCAATAGTTTCGGAACCAAGTGTAGTCATTAGTACACTGCCCAGTGGTGTACCAGCATCAGCACCAACAATAGTGAGAGCCACTGCAGTAGACTCTAGCCGCATTTCGGTATCATGGGAACCTGGACCCTTTCCAAATGGCCCTGTGCTGTCTTATGTGTTGCAGATCAATGAGCTACCCGAGGGCTACTCAGCCCTCAAGGTGAGCGAGAGAGGACCATATCACGCTTCTACTCAACTATCTGTTTCTTTCAATAGAGTATTAGATTTTTTGCTTATTCTTTTGCGTCACTATTTCTTCTTGTTTGTTTTTCTTTTACAAAGAGCAGTCAGAAAGTTTACAAGGCATGTATCTCGAAGCGATTTTTTTGATCTCTGATGTGGATAATTTTGTATACATTGGTTTTTTTATTGCTAGTGGGGTGGGACTAAGTCCTGTGTACTGCAGCCACTTCTGGCCTATTGTACCAGCCCCAGATGATAGGTGAGGGTGATTGTGGAGCAATTGGTAGAATGAAGATTGGCAGGGGAAACCGAAGTACTTGGAGAAAATCTGCCCCAGCGCCACTTTGTCCACCACAAATCCCACTTGACCAGACCTGGGACCGAACCCAGGCTGCCATGATAATTATATAATAGGATGAGTTTCCCTATTCATTGTCCATAGACATCAGTGTCCTGGTCTATGAAACCCTCAATTTCTCACCATTATTTTTAAATCTGTCCCCCCCCCCGACATTGCCCAGTATCACACTTGGAAGGCCAGAACTGATTATGGAAACAGCAAGCAGATAACTAGTGTATGTCCAGGATATTTACTTCTATGGATAGAGAATATGAGTATTAAAACATGTCCATTAACATGATAATATCACACTTTGCCTGGAAACTAAGCAGAAAAATAATTTATATGTCTTACACCGTCACATTATTATTCATATAAAATATTCAGTGAATTGCTTCAATATATACCAGTGTATGCTTCATGTATTTATTTTCTGACTGCCTCTTATACTTATCTTCCTGAAATTGCAAGTCTGATTAAACAAAGGTTCAAAAATTGCATAATATGAATCCATATAAAACTGATACATAAGTCATGTATCACTCCCTTAACCCACTGGTATACCACTTTATTCTGTCTACTCAAAATGCCTAGATACAATTTTTATAAGCATTTGAAAATAAATACACAAAAATGACCATCAAGCTTAAATGCACACATACAATATTTGTTATAAACATAATAACTATTTTGGACATTTCCCATCATTCAACTGTGACCATATAAAAGGTTACTCTCAAACACTAGACACCGAAATAACCTCTGAGCAGACTATATATTAGTGATGGAAATTATCTCTTTTTCATGGGCTGAACTGAGCAGGAGCCTCTCCTGTCTCACACCTTATAATGGAAACAGATCCCATTTTTGAAATGAATTTGAAGAAATTCAGGAAGATGGACAATGTCCAAAATAACAGTTGTCTGTTTTTAAGCCAGTGTCAGAAATCTTTTGCCTTTTTTCTAGTAAATAAATTATTTTGACTTTCAACCAGTATTATCATCTCAAAGCTGTCAAAATAGGAATAGAAAATACCAACTGAAAGAGCAAGCATATAGAAGCCATTAGAGAATATCAAGGGTTTGTTTCGTAGACTGATAATTGAGTCTTAGGCTATTTAATGACACTATTTATAAAACAAATTATATAGTATCGAACAAGATGAAAAGATGATCGTGACATAATCCTGGAGAAACTAACAAAAAAAAAAAACAAAAGAAACCTGAAGCAGGATAAGCAGTACTCCAGGTAAAAGGTACTTCACAAATAGTGATACTCTTACAAAAAGAGCCTGTTTAATGTTTTTAGATCTTGGTTATAAATCAGCAGTGTGTAACAAACCCATTCATCTGACCATACTTGAGAAGTGAATATCAAGGTTGATTAATGGAAATTTCTTTTAATTTATTCAATTATGATTCAAGTTGCTGATTCAACCATCTTACATGCAAGATACCTTTCTAAATTTTATTTAAAAGCTTCTTTACACCACATCACTTGTTTTGACCAACGCTGGTCATCATCAGGCATTTAAAATTGTTGATGAAAATTGCTGTGCTCCTGTTTTGTAGTTTCAGCATTTGATATGTGGTCCTGCACTTATGTATCTCACAATGATGGGTAGTTATTAAAAAGGATACACTCGTACAACACAACAGGAAGAACTGCTGCAAAAATTTTGAAACAGATGCTAGTTTAATATTTCTTAATATTTCTTGCATTAGAAACGTAGCATTTCTTGTGTCAAGGACTGGAAAGAAGGGTTTAAAATTTCTGTTTGCTATATAATTGCAAAATGTGCAAAAGTTGGACAGCAGTTAAACTGCTGTAAACAATACACATAATTGTCACTCACTGCAGTGAGACATGGGTAATAAAGAAGAAAAATATAATAAAATATGTTAGGGTGAAGATGAACTTTTAAGATCAGTAAAGAGATCAAAGAGAAGATGAAGATGTCAGAACAAGTTAAATATATACTGCCTAACTGAAATGATAAATTATTGCCACAAAGTGTGTGGAATTTTTGAAGAGTGAATGATTTTGAAAGATGTAATATATTTCAATCCAAAAGAAGGGCAAGAATGAGAGAGAGAGCCATGTTGGAACAAGCTTTTAGCCTAACCTTGACTGGACAGATGGTGGTACACACATGCACACACATATGTACATACTTGAACATGCACATACACACATGAGTATATACATATGCTTAATTTTCTTCAGAGTTGTATATACATAATTTGAAGTTTTGAGAACAGCATTTCTTTGGAGTAACAGTACAATATGATCTGAAATTCCACATGAACTAAAAGAAGCTCTTCATATTGGGTTTGCAAAATTTTGGAATATTTAAGACAAAGCAATACAATTCTGCATTGTCTACACAAGCTTTAACAAATCAATTTGGGTTTAAAATCTACACTATTAAGAAATAACATTTCTTATGTTACTGGTGCATGGCTTCATTACTGCTCATTTAAGATATTCTGTTTTGTTTTGTGTGTTTTGGGTGTTCTGCATGATGTGTGTAAATAGTTTGATAATGAACAAGTTAACAACTTTATGCAATATTTGAACCATTATTTTAAAAATTTTTGTGGTTAGTGCCTTATTTACAGTCTGCGTGATAGTCCTCTTTAAGCTCTGTTCCTCCTTCTTAATGATACAGCATGTGCATTTTTAAACTAATTTAGAAGTGATCAGGTTCCTTCTTTTGTGGGTTATTTAACGACAATGTCGTTATCTACATAAGTGAACGTTGGGATGCCATCCTGCCAATCCATTCTGTTTAGAAGAAAATATAGTAGGAAGTTTGAAGATGGAAGAAATAATATCATTATCATAATTACATCATGAACTTCCTTCAATACATGATTTATCTAAATTATGTTTGGAAGATCTCTACATTAACTCTTTCCACACTGTACTCAATATATCTCACTAAGATGAGCTGCTCCTTCTGTTATAGATTTATTTCCTGTTACAGAAGCTCAGTGAAAGGAAAGCGTATCTCAACAGTCAAAGATAACTATTGTGGCTTTTCAGCCACCATGAAAATTAAAATTAGAAGAAGGTTTATTTAAGTACAAGCCCGCATGGAAGGCATTAAATCATGAGACAAGCTCACTTGATAATTCTTCCATAGTCTCCCCACATAAATGAACAAGTTTTCCCACTTTCATGGCTTTCATCCTTCAAATTTCTTCTATTGCTCTGTTTATTCCTGTAACTACTTTGTGCTTGCACCACTTCCATTAGATATTAAATGATATCTTTGTTTTTGTCATCTGTCATTCATTCTTTATCTGACCATACTACCACAACATATTATTTTCTACAGATGTGAATCACAAATCCAAATTAGCATTATCTGGCCTAACACCAGACACAAGTGCCCAAAACTTGATTATCTCAAAATGACCCAGTGTAGTAATGGGAGTAGGGTGATGATATATTTCATAGTTGCAAGAATGTTAAAAGCAAATTTTGCATATAAGGTAAACCTGGTAGACTTTTTGTGTTAGTAAATTAAAATAAACTTGTTAATTTATCAAGAAATGAACTAGAATGGATAAAATCTGGAAGCAGAACATTAGACAGAACTTGAAAGTGGGAACAGTACAAGAAAAGCTAAGTCGTAACTTTTTGATGAGTGTGTTATACAATAAATATGACTGTTATTTTGGCACTGTCCAACATCTTGAGCTTTATCAAACATAACATTTCAGAAACAGGATCTAATTTCATCATCAAATATAAGGATGATGGATACAGATCCAATTTCTGAAACACATTCAGAAAAATTAAAGACAGTGGAGAATGCCTAAGATAATAGTCATGTTTACTTTAAGAAAAACTGAAAAATTGAATGTAATGGTATCAGAACAAGTGAAAACAAACAAGAAGGGCTACAGTTTCAAACTACAATATTAAAAAAGACAGGAGGAGAAGGTAGTCAAATTAAGAATAAGATACCACTGAAACATAGGGATAAAATCTGAAAACAGGGCATGAATTTGTTAATAACAGAGATACAGTGGCATGGGCATGTGTTATGCATGAGAACAATAGAATTTGTTTGAAATCAATTCCAGAATTCCAGATATGAACATTTTTTAATATATAGAGATTAAGGGCAAGGTGGAAATGTACAAAAGAGAGAAGAAAAAGCTAGAGAATGAATCCCTTCAAACTGAAATGTGCAAGTGTTCTTTTATAAATGGAATATGGCCTTGCTGAAATGAGTGTTACTACTTATATACTTTAAGGAGTCATCTGGCACCAAAATTTTTCATACAGCATATTCATTATAACTTGATGACTAATGAAAACACTCTATTTGCATAATTAGGACATCCCAGCATCTGAAAACACTAACTTCTACATGTTCAAGAATTTGTTGCCAGACAGAAATTACACATTGTCTGTTAGCATGAGGAATGGAATAGGGGAAGGACCACCTGCTACCACTCTGGTTTCAACACCACCTGAACCCACAGGTACCAGAACAGTTTCAAATCTGTGCCTTATTGCTTTTATGGGTGTTATTAAGTATTTGATTAAATGCATACTTTTTGTTTATTTAATTACACTGAAAGACACACGCAAGCCTAATTTGATTTTGGGATCCTGTCACACGGTACTTAGGCGAGAAGCTGATATTCTAGCAGAACCCATGATCATATACAACACATCCCATATTATTAAAGGTTTGTCATAAATATGCAAAATATATGTGGTTTTCTAAAAATACAGTGTTTAACAATTTATAATGCAGTACTAAATACTTAACAACCTACGAAGAGTTCTATCTTCTGGGAACTAATGCCATGTAGCCCTTTGAAAGTCAACAAATATTTCAGAGGGACATGTTGCCACAATCTTCAGGATCAAAGTTAAAGCTCTGCTTGTTATCTGCTTCATGCTGATTTCTTGCTTGGCTTATTTCTTGACACTGAAGATGAGGGCAACAAGTTCCTCCAAAATGTCAGTGGACTTACAAAGAACTACACAGTGTTATATCCCAGAATGTAGAGCTCTCCATAACCTAACCACTGCTGTGAGATCCTCAGTTCCTACATGTAACCACCGAATTTGGAGACGAGATCACTTTTGTTTAACGAGTGTCAATGCATCATGAATGATGCATTTTTCCCATGACAATTGTAGAGAATTATGAAGTAGGAAATTTAGTTTTCTTAATTACAACATATAAAGCAGTTCTTTAATTAAAGGTTCACTCTGTAGGGATAAAATGTGGGAAGTTCAGACAGGAAATAGATGTCTCAATAATCTCTAAAGGGTCAACATTCAGAATATCTGCATTTTGTTCAAACAGTATATGCATGAGTTTCATTTCATACTCAAAGTGAAATTACTTTCATGATCATTAGGTCTTTGTAATGGAGATGAAGGAACTTTTTTTTTTGAGGTAGGTGCCTATTTTTTTAAAAATTGCATTTAAATCAGCTTCTTACTTTATGTAACTATCTGCCATGGTTAACACACTAAAATACAGAATTAAATATCCACTGCCATGCTTAACGTACTATAACTTTTCTACTTTCATAATTAGAACTCAATTGGAAGCCCAGAGCCATTAAATGGTACACTGACAGGCATTTAAATTTCAATTCAAACCTGTTGGTCACGTTACCTTGGCTAAAAACATTAACACAAGCATTCTGATTTAAAAATAACTGCTGCTATCAAATCTATGTCAGATCACTGATCTTGCAATACAGTCTCAAGTTTCTTTGTCAATTAAATGGCATCCATTAGAGAAAAGACTAAATATTTTGAATAATGAATGAAGATACTGCATGACATCTTGTATGCTTTCACTTGCTTGAGCAGTAAAAGCCAAATTTGGAAACACAAGGATTTAGTATGAGAGCAGTTTGAATGCAGGGCTCTATAATGAAACTGCTCTAATCCATTATTTATGTGTGAACATGTACTAATGCTTGAATTTCAGGTGTTGCAATTCACGTAAGTCATCACCTGCTGTTTGTGTCAGACTCTGCTGGCTATGTATCTCGCACTTCACTGGTCCGTTATGAGGCTCCGTATACTATACTGACTCCTTCCCATGCCAACTTCCTACCACTGGACCTTAGTGTGGATTGGCTGAATGACCAACTGTATATTCTGGGTCAGGTGACACATTCTACAGGACCCATGTGGCAAGTAGCCCGCTGTGGATTGGATGGGCGTGGGCTCACCATTGCAGTGGCTGGTATCCTTACTAAACCATACCATATTGAAGTTGATCCATACAATGGGTAAGAAAATACTACTACTGCTGCTGCTACTACTGCTACTACTACTAATACTACTAATAATAATAATAATTCTTTTTCTCCTTCTTAAAATTGTTTATTTAGTAGTAATTCGCATAGTGGGGGGTGGAGTCCAACTGGGTCCACTTGGCACGGCATCCACTGATTGGCCTACTGTAGCCTGCCCTGGGTGGTTATGATGATGGAGAATTTGGTGGAATGAAGATTGGCAGGGAAAACCGAAATACTCAGAGAAAATCTACCCCAGCGCCACTTTGTCCACCATAAATCCCACTTGACCACACCAGGGTTTGAACCCGGCTCACCGCGTTGGGAAGCCAGCGACTAACTGATTGAGCTATGGCATGGCCTTATTTAGTAGTAGGTTATTTAATTCTGCTGCCAGTAGTACAGACTATAGAGCACTGACTGCCTGGATGGTGGTGAATAATGAATTGGATATTTGCCTGTGGGACTGAACAAAATCACAAAAGTCTTCGGTTGAGATAGCTTAAATTTAAACCCACTATATAATGAGAGCTGTCACCGCTTCGCCAACTTTCTTGGTAATCACACATGCACACACACACACACACTCACTCGCATGTGTGCAAAGCAAGTTAATAACATTTATTGTTGTTGTGACCACGCTCACATGCAGTCTACATTTGTTTTGTAGTCATGAAGACATGTGATTCAGAGGATTGATTCGCACAATAATGAAGCTGCACAATTGCATTGCATCAACTATGAGAAAATACATCTAAATAAACTAATACAGTTTTATTTGCAACAATAAATATCATATGACCATCTGAACAGCATGGTAGCAGATGAGTTAAACTGAATTTTGCTATTGGATTACAAACTTAAATTATTTAATGAAGATATTAACAATACAAATTTTGCAGTGTTGGAAGCCTACAGCAGAAAAGTAGTTACATGTTTTGAATCCTTCTTCCCACAGCTGTCTACATACAATTCTGATCTCCACTGTGCGTATCATGAACCTGAATGTCAGAATTTTAAATCTGTTTTGTACACAGTATGTTCTCTGTGCCATGAACATGATATCTGTATGTGGAAGGGAGAGTTTCTGTTACTAGTAAAATCAATATCTTTTGGGATGTTATGCCATATAGCCTAGAAGACTGTTGCTGATATTCTGGTACACACTACATTACATCGCATCATATCCGAAAAGAAAATCTTGTCACCACCATCAGAATCCCAAACCTCATAAGATTTTCAACAAACTGTGACAATTTTAAAATCCAGACAAAAAATCAGACCTGTCACAGAGGAAATGTACACTCCAGGTGAAAACAACAGTAAAAAGAATGCTGTCATTAATTGTTTTTTGATTTCTTGCAGGTATTTGTTCTGGGTAATCCAAGGCACCATGTACCGGCTGGACCTACATGATATCAGCAATGGAGTGAAACATGAAGTTCGGCCAGATATCATTTTGGAAGATCCTAACCTCGGAGCATTCACGGCAGACCACACAAACTTTCGGCTCTTAGTTGCAAACCATTCTCAGAACACTGTTGTCTCTGTGTCACTGGATGGGTGAGTTCTTGTTAATTACATGGAAAGCACTGGGCAGTTACCACCTTTTATTCACATCAAAATGTTGGAGTTATTTTCCATAATTTGATCCCATCTTTATAATGACTGTGATTACAAAAATTATAGTTTCATGTGATTATAGACAAAATTGGATAATTAGCCATTTTTCATTGTCTGATGCCTTTTAAATACACAAAGCATTTCAGAATTTCATTGTACTCACATCTTCTGGTGAACTTTTGGCATTATGCTGAAATATAATACTATTTATATTGATTGTTATTGGTAATTGCTGTACTTTGATCCAGAACCCTCTTTGTACTTATGTTGTGCACTGACCCTTAGACCATCAGAACCAAACATCTATCATGAATATAAACAAAAATAAACATGTCTGTATAATCATCATTGCTGTCATTCAGCTCTCAAGGAATCTGCTGTTTGTTGGCCCTTCCTAGCCAAATAGTTAATTCAACAGCCATCCTGGTTTCTTATTCTAGTTTGTCTGTATTTCATCATTCATTTGGAACTCATGTCTCTCTGCATTCTGCTAGCATGATGATTCCATTTCTTTCTGTAGTCTAAATATTAAATATATTTCAGACTGTTTACAAAGTAGTTGAGGTGTAATGAATGAACCAGTCACATTATCCTTTATGGAAATTTTATGAAAGTAATACCATACGACAGATTTTAGGCGCTGCATATCAAGTCACATAAAGCAAATGGACAAAATGCTAAACCCTTGTAGTACATAAAATAAAATGAAAAGTACATAATATTTGAGAGTTTCATGGGAGTGAAAATTCTTTTTGTTGTGTTCTGGGTTATGACACCATGTAGTATGGTAAGCAGGAGCCAACATTTCTGAGGAATATTGGTTCCCTCTTCCAGTTAAAAATTAACCAGGTCGGGAAAGTGACTAAATATATAAATGGAGGAAGAAATGGGCCATGAGGACAAGACTGGCCAGTCTGAGCCAGGAATGAGGAAGAGGGGACAGCACTGAGTGTGGCCCTGAAAGGGCTCTCCCTTGCTCTTGTTGTTGAGTAGCTGCCCCTTTCAGGGCCATTTTTTCTTATATGTTCATCTGGGTCTTGTCCCTTGTTTTATATCCCTGCCTGTGATTGGCCACTCTTGTCTTCTGTGACCAATTTCTTATCTCTGTTTCTATATAGCCAACCACTTTTCCAGCTTGGCTCACTTCTACCTTGAAGATGGGGACAGTATATACTTCAAAACCATTGGTACCTTTCTACTAGATCACCTGGGATCATAACACCACACAATGTGATTAGAATGAAAAGTACAAAGGACGTTGTCCAGGATGTTATTATTGTGATAAACACATCATACAAGGCCATGTTCTCTTTTTAGGCGTGAAATAGTTGACCTTCGAGGAAACACACAACAACCAATGTTTCAGAATGTGGTATCTTTAGCAATGGCCAATGGCGTGTTTTATTGGACCAATGGTGAGGAGGTGCTGTATGAAGAATATCATCCTCTCCATGACAGTTACTTCCATAATGCTTACCCTGACCGGCCAGATAAGTCCTTTGTGAGTGTAAGTGTGAACTTACCCACATCACAGCCCATACCCATTCCTGTGAACCCTCCAACCAATGTGCAAGCTATTCTTGGAGCAAAGCTGGCAAAGACTTCCTGGCAGGTGCCTCACTTGTTGGGAGGACAAGGTAATTATAGCAAAGCATTTAATCTTTTATGTCTGTCATGAAATTTGAAACTAACGCTAACCAGGTGACAAACCAATTCACTGTCTGATTAACCTTTACTGGTCATGCATTCCACTGCTCTAAGAGTGCATTCAGGGGTCCAGTTGGCGAAGTGTTTCATTTCTTCAATACTGATACTCTTGTCCTAAGTTACAATCTAGCTGCCAGCCCTCCTATTCCCATACAATTATTTAATTAAACAACTAATTTTGTAGAATCTGAAGGTTCATCACCATGTTCACAAAAGCCCATCACTAGTCCCCATCTTGAGCCAGATGAATCCAGTTAGCACCCTCCCATCCTATATTTCTTTAAGATCCATCAGACAATAAAGGTTAATCAACTAATTTACTGACTATTTGACTCAGTATCTACTCAGTATCTGACTGGAAACCATTTAATTATCTCATCAGCTGGTGGGCTAAGTGACTGAGTAACTCGTTAACAATGATGGTGACTGACAGTGGACTATCTAATTGACTGACATACTTAACATACTGATACTCAATCAGCTAGAAATTTACTGATGGGTTAATTAAATGATTGACTAACTGGTTGAATCACTGGCTGGATGAAGTAATAACAAACTAAAATTAGACAGCTACTTAGTGTGCTAGTATGTGAGTTAGACAACAAAATAACAGCTGACAGACAATGCTTTACTAATGGCATAATACATAAATGAAAGAGCATGTAAAATGGCTCCCTTTTCATAAATGTTGTAATTTATGCATTTCTATTCCCTCAGGTAAAGGGGCTTGGCAGAGCTGGTCATACGAACTGCATATTACAGATGAAACAGTGGGTGTAACTGTGTACAAAAAGAATGTTAATACAACTTCTTACACCATCCAAAACTTAAAGCCAAATACAGAGTATGTTATAAAAGTTGCTGCATATACAAGTTCAGGAAAGGGTCCATGGTCTTCAGAATTTAGAGGAAAAACATTAAAAATACCACAGGATGACAAATATCCATCAATATTATGGTCTGCTGCTGAGGGATTACTCAAGTCTGATGTAACAGGAGAAAATGTAGAGATGCTTATACACAATACAAACTTAAAGGTATGTGAAACTAGAAGTTACTGCTATCAAAATAATTCTGAATTCTTTCTTCATTTTTTAACCTTTTGCTTACAGTTTAACTTTCTGCGCTATGATGAGCCAGGATTTGTCATGTCTACTGTGGTCTGATTTACTTGATGTGTAGATGTTTATCTGCTCCATGTACTTCATATATGGTCTGTGGTAATAGATGACACTAGTGTTCCTGAATTCCAGTACCGTCAGCATGAAATTGTGGTTACTTGAGTATCCTATATGTAGGGGAAGACATAAAATATGTGTGTGTGTGTATGATATATATATGTAGGTATAAGTATAACAAATGTGTTCAGTTTTCCCAGACCCAATACAAACAAATTACAAAATGTGAATCCTGGACTTTGACAGACATAACATAGTTTACATAAGCATGCCAAAAATGTAAATTTTTTATTAAGGGTATGTATTTGGCCGCATCATAGCTCAAGTGGTCAGTTTCTGGCTTCTCACCGCAGCGGCCCGGGTTCAACCCCGGGTCTGGTCAAGTGGGATTTGTGGTGGACAAAGTGGCGCTGGGGCAGGTTTTCTCCAAGTACTTCGGTTTCCACTGCCAATCTTCATTCCACCAATTGCTCTATAATCACCCTCACCTATCATCTGGGGCTGGTACAATATGCCAGAAGTGGCCGCAGTACAAGGGACTTAGTCCCACCCCGCTAGCAATAAAGAAAAGAAAGGGTATGTATAAATGAAATCCTTAAAGTGACTGATTAAATTATGCTCCACATAATGTAAGCAGCATACTTTTATAAACTTGTTATAGTTTTCCTTGTTGTTTGTAATATATTGTAAATGTTCAAGTAGCAGAGCAGGCTACTACTTACAGCTTATAAGCTCTTAAACCCCCCTTGCCCATACAGTATCCTAATCATGGGTGTAAGGCTCTACACATTCCAGATCTCAAAATTTGATTGATATGAGCAGCTAGCTTCATGCTCCACATTTCACATCCACTGGATGGAAGCTGGATGGGCTCCAGAGCTGGTCTGGATGTCGAAAAATTCACTTGCTTCAGTAACTGAAAATTGCAGTATCATGCATTGATTTGTCATGGAATGGCTCTGAAGAGAAAAACCTGTGTTCCTACCCCAATACCAAATGAGCTATCATATCTCAGTGTATGCCTTCACTGTATGGTTGCATATTTATATGCATGGGATAACTTTACTCAATGACTGCCTGAGATCAAGTGACTGATAATGCCAACTATTTAATTTAACATTTAAAATATTTTATTGTAGTAATATTGAACTCTGGTGATCTCATGGTCTATGAGCAAGATGGTGGACTTCTCTGTAAGAGGTTCCAGGTTTAAGAAAACTTAGACTGAATTTGAATATTTTTGCATGTCTTACCCTTCCTTCACTTTTGACAGAAGAAAAAGTTTGTGAATAGGAGAAAAGCAAAAGCCCATGTCATGCTGCAGGTTGTGGGGCAGAGGAATCTGCCTCAGAGGTGCTGTGCCTTGCAAGTGCATTCCATCAATATCTCCAAAGCAGGCAGAGGCCCGACAGATCATGACTACCAACTGAAAACATTAGCCAACAAAACAACATTACTAACTAAAAGCTGTTCAAATAGATTTATATATTTTTAAGATGCTGTTTCTATTAAAAATTGATAATGCATCAAATTAAAAGTTAGATGGAAAAGTGATATATGAATATGTGAGGACTATTGAAGGCGGTAGTGTGTAGTCAATTTTCTTTTATATAAATTTCAGTACTCACTTGAAAAATCTGAGGAAAACAATGATACATGACATGATAAGAAATCATTTAATCAGGTACCTTCCAGATGCAAGTCTTAAGTGCCACCACTACATTACCCCACTAACTAAACTAACTAACTCCACAGAGCTGTGCCCTTCTTGAGAAACCACCAGTGGTGCAGCCACTCAAGAATTTCCCAACGTTTTATGGAACATAAAGGTTCATTACTGTGTTCTCAAGAGCCCTCCACTTGTCCTTATCATAAGTCAGATTAATCCAGTCCATACCAGTCCATCATCTCTCTCTAAGACACATTTTAATATTATCCTCCCATCTAGCCTTCCTAGTGGTCTCTTTCCTTCTGGCTTTCCCACCAAAATCCTACATGCATTCCTCTTCATCCCATGCATGCTGCATGACCTGCACACCTCATTCTCCTTGACTTGATCATTCTAATTATGCTTGGTGGAAAGTAAAAGTTATAACACCCTTCCTTATTCATTCTTCTACAACCTTCTATTATTTCATTCCTCTTTGGTCAAATATTCTCCTCAGTACCCTGTTCTCAAACATCTTCAGTCTATGTTCCTCCCTTAATGTCAAAGACCAAGTTTCATACACCAATCCACTAAGTCCAGAAACAATTCTCTGAGTTATTATGGGTTTATTTCTCTTGTTCTATAGGATATGCATGGCAGTTACCATATCAGTGACATAGCCTGGTACAAGGACAAACTATATCTTGTCACAAACACAACTCATGTGTACTGGTACAATCTCACAACCCATGATACAGGACACCTGAGGGAGATGGATTCAGTTGGCAGCATTGCTGTAGACTGGATAGGAAAGAAACTCTACTGGTCAAATCCAAAACAACAACTGGTATGTATATGTGGGAACATCCCACATACGTGGCCCGCAAAACTTTCCGAAGTGGTTGTCTATTAGAACCTCGACAATCCCACATACACAATAAACCAGAATTTTTGTTACTGTTATGTAAATACATACACGTGTGTTTACACACACACACACCATTTCCCACACCACCCCATACATTCATAACCCACACTGCCCCTAATGCCACATCATAACCCTCACACTGCCCCACAGACACACACATGTACAAAGTTACCTTCCTTAGATCTAGAATTTGGCAGATGACAAACATGACTGTAGGACACAGAATAAGCCATAACACATTTAGAAGCATAATACAGTCAATGAGTGCAAATACATTATATAAATATGAAATAACTACATAAATAGGGCCTTTATCATAGATTATAAATTGTTTCCAAATATTAAATATTCACCAACAGAATAAAAGGCATGTGTATTTAAGTGAAATTTTAATATAAATTTAAAATGCTCCTTTTCATTCATAATGTTGGTAATACTACAAGTTAAATTATTAAAAATTTTGATACCAGCAAAAAGTGCACGTTTCTGGAAGCAAGCATGGTCAGCAATTGGCATATGAAAGTTGCTCGTATTAAAGACTGTGTATTAATGAATTTATTTTAAAATGCTCCTGTTTCTTCATGATAAAATTCATTAATTGATTTATTGTTTTATTATATACTTCTGTAATTGGCTTTATGTTCTTGTAGATTTATTTTAATTACAGATATTGTATACATAATTGACAACATTTATTTTATGATGGCTTGTTGTATATATATACACAGAGTGTCCCAGGTGTTTGGTGCCATACTTCAGGAGCTATTTTACGTTTGTGGACATGGGTTCCTATTTCAAAGTTATTCTATAGGGAACCCTCAGTATGCTCCTGAAATATGGCACCAAACTCCTGGGACATCCTGTATATATGTATGTATGCATGTTGTGAGATGTATGTCGTTTTGCTATTGCTTATGATATACATTGTATATTCTGTGACAAAGTTCTACATCTTGTGGTCTTGTACCAATGATTGATCTATGAATGCAATAAATGAAATTAAATTAAATTAAGCGATATATATATATATATTAACACAGAAGTGGCAGAATTCCTAATCACTCAAATATACATTGACATGAAATATTAGATTTGGCACCTGCTCTAATTCCAGTAATTTTCATGTGTAAACCAAATATTACTCTACTGTTACACACATTGCCCCCCCCCCCAAAATTATTCCATATTTCATAATAGAATGAAGATATGCAAAACAAATTATTTTAAATATATCAATATTGCAAATGTGAAACATCTGTCTTACTACTCCACTTAGCTTACTGCACCTGACATTCTTTGATTTAACATCAAAGAGCCCCTTATATTATGAGCCATTGATAATACCAGCCATTAAAGTAAACTTTCTTCTTGTAGATTACTCGAGGGAACCTTAATGGTACCCAGCAAGAACCACTCCCCATACTCACAGTAGCTAAAGAATTAAACATTGATGCAATTCAAGCATATATATATTGGTCAACGGGCCATGCAGTCGAGTGTGCAAGGCTAAATGGCAAGAACAGACGGACATATTACCCAGCAGAGCTGTTTTCAGGAAAGCAAGGTGAGTACACTCCTGTTGCTTTACAGTGGCCTTTAGCTTGCATAAGAATGTTGGAAAGTTCTCAGCAGTGGAGGTGGTGATAGCATAGTATAAACCTACTAGAAAATGTTAATTGTTAATTACCATGAGTGGGGCTTGAAAGATATGGTCACCTGATCATTTGAGGCCAGCTGATTTTGAGAATTGGTAAGCAGAAAATCAATGTAGTTATTTACATTAATGGGTTTTTCAGTTTCCTCTCTTTTAGTAATTATATTGATATTGGTTGTAAATTCCACTGTTTTAGCTTACATCAGTCATAGAGTTGAAGAGACTGCTTGGACATAAATGCAAGTGTAATATAAAAATGGGGGGGAAAAAAGAAGGGAAATAGGGTGTGGATTGGGCTCAGCTAACTTAGAATAGTCTCCAGTGGTGGGATCTTATGAACAAGGTAATGAATCTTCATGTTCCTTAAAAAGGCTGGAAATGTGTCTGTTACATGAGCAATGATCAGTTTCTCAGTAAGGACTTTGGTGCATGGAGTTCATTAGTCACCTATAGAGTGCACAGGAAAAAGACAGATAAAATGTTGTGAACTGATTCATACAGATAATCAAACAGATCATAATTTTTTTTTAAATTAATGCTATTTAAGTTCTGACATTAAGTTGTTATTGATTGTTGTTATGTAGAGAGATAAATTCACAGAAGTTCCAACAGCAATATATGTGTGCATTTATATATGTTGGGAGGTTATTGTCTTTTCACCACCACAGTCAACTGTTAAGCACAGTAAAAGGTATAAACCCCACATCATGAAGATTTATGAGTGGAGGTCTAACTCCACACATTCTTAACTTTGCAACAAGTTAGCGATTTGTCTCCATGTATAATTTCCACCAGATATTACTAATTGTCTGTTATATGAAATTTGTCAGATAAAACATCACATTTTTTCAGCATCTCCTTTTCTCTAACTTTTCAGTTCAAAACATACAAATTGTATCTATGTTTTAGATTTGTTTCATTCTGGTCTGTCACATTAATAATATTATGAAAAAAAAAACAACACAGAAGGCCACAAACACATACAGAACAACATTCAAGAACCCTCCTCTTGAGAACGACAAGGTGGCACACATTCGGCCCATGTCACATGACTGCTACCCACTGCTGTATGATGTCACCGAGGACACAAAGAAAATACTGTGCCAGTATTGCTGGCCACATTTTGGGCGTTGCTTAGCAGTGGATTTACATATCATAACAATATTAATTTGGACCTCAATGAAACAGAGTTTTGTAATTTGCAGTGGATAAAGTGGTTGAGGTTTTAAGTCCAGTGGTGTTCTTTTGCATTAGTGATATTACACCTTCAGATTCCAATGACAAAATCAGTTTTAATTATTGTGAATTAAAACGTCTAGTCTCCATTGTGAGGGAAAGCACATGAATATGAGTTTTATTGTGACTGTTGATAGTAATGGGGCTGACACTGGATGTCGATCAGAGAGCTGTGTACTGGATAGTAAGAAGCTTTGAAGGATCCACACTTTTTCAGGCTCCAACTGCTGAAGAAATTCCCCATGGAGAGGAGATATATCCTATAAAGGAGATGAGCCTGCAGCATCCTCATATGCAAGGTAACAGTTGTAATTTATGTGATTGAATATCACAGTTACATTGTTAGCATTTCTATTTCACATTCAGGTATTGGGTTCAAATCTTGATCCAGATATTGGGTATCATGAGAGTTTTTTTTTTTTGAGGTTCTCTTCAAATCTTCAAAGGAAATATGGGGAAAATACACCAAAATGGACTGTCAAAATCCTTCCTCAATTCCACCTTTATTTTCTTCTTGACTTCCTACCTGTCCCACTTCTTCCTTTGTCCTTCCTCACTCAACTCCTTATTAACTCACTCCTACCAATCATACTGGTGCAACATCATATAAAATACGTGCTAAGAAGTTCAGTCAGACAACAGCTTCATTTGTAATGCTCCGAAAGGTTGCATGTTTTGGAACGTCTTATTCTATTATCAGACCTTTTTTTTTTTTCAGTAAAATATGTGAAGAGGAAGTCTTATATGTTTTTGAATAGCGTGGCTTATGGGCTAAGGTTTAGTCTGGTACTAAAATGTAAAATATATATCAAATTGTCTGTTAAGACTCTACTTGAGCATCATATCATCAACTTCATCACTATGAGGCAGGATAGCAAAACAACGGAACACTTAGCCTGCAGCTAACTTACATCCACCTCTCAGTACCACATCATTAATATCTCCAGAATCACTCACAAAGAGACTCTACACAATTTCTGCTCCATTGTGGTACCACTTTCATTTTATTTATATTTTATACAGTCAATTTTAACAAACAGTTTTATTACCCGTATGTTTTTTCCCTTTTAGTACAAGACAAGATAAAATACCTAAGTCTATAAGCAAAATCAATCAGTAATATGTAACATTTCCTGTCTACATATGCCATTGAGAGAGGCCTGACGTTTCAGAGGAACATATTCTCTCCATCTTCAGGGTCGAGGAATTAGCAAAGCAAGGAACCAGCAAGCTTGCTACCTGCTTTGCATTGGTTTCTTGCTTGGCTAATTCTTTGACCCTGAATATGGAGGTGACATGTTCCTCCAAAACATTGATTGACTTTCAACAGACTTCATGGCATTATATTCCAGAAAAGAGAATGTTTCATTGCTGTAAGAACCTCAAATCCTACATAACTTTCTTATGGTTTTTCCTCCATCTCTCCAGGCAAATGCCAGTAAACTTCCTACACATACACTTATCTATTTATCTTTCATGATCCAATATGATTGGTTATTTGTCACCTCCAGTTGAAACAGCACTGTCGAAAGTCTTGTGAATCAGTCACATACTCTCTTCTTTCCTCAATCAGTCCTTAATGTCTTCCTCCCTTCTAACTTTAATTGCCATATGTCTGTCTTACTCATGTACTAAACATTCTGCTACATCATTAAATTTACTAAATCCTAACATCAAAAGACTGATTCATATAAATGCCCTTTACACAATTACACAATACAATCTTACATAATAAGCTCAGCAAAAGATGTTTGCAGTTAGCATGCTGACTTCACTTTCCACTCAGCAACCACTGCCAGATATAAGGGCTTCAAAAACCATCCATGAAAGCTAACCCTGAAGATGACAATGGCACTGATTGCCAAAATGTTGGAAAATCTTAAACATTTAGTGTAACTTATTCCTGAAGGCCAAAGCAGTAAATTAATCATTTACTTGACTATCATACATATTTCAGTCTGATATCAATTCAATCTCTTTCTTTTCAGGACCTCTGTGCTATTTTAGTGACCATCTGCTGTGGTTACAAGATGACAGAAATGCTGTGATAGGAGATTTGAATGGACAGAATGCTGCAGTTATCAGTGGAACAAGCCTCTCAGGTCTCAATATGGTAGCTGTTTTGGATCCTGTTCTGCATCAGTACCCAAGTAAATAGGCAACAAAATTGATGTTTTCACTTTTTTCTATGAGATATCTTATGAACATTGCACACAGACAAATCAGGGATCATCAGTGAGGATTTTGACATAACAGATCAACCATAGATCTGATATTCTACATTTGTGTGGTACTGGAAAAGAAATGGGAGTACAATGGCACAGTACAATTACAGAGTTCAAGAAAGTCTGTGATTGAATTAGGAAGGAAGTATTGCACATATTCTCACTGGCTTTGGTATACCCAAAAAAACAGGATAGGCTAATTACAGAGCATTTAATAGAAACCTATAGGAATACAATACAATACAATAATGTGACGTGTTACCTTACGTCCATCACTGTGACAATCGCTACAATCAGAACGGACACTTCCACGACAACGAATACATGGAAATTGTGGAGTTGCCGCAGTGACAAATCGTAGCAATGAAATGTTGTTGAGTAACATCGGATGAGACGAAACACGTTAACCATGTATTCTATAAGAAGCGTTCCCATAACAACGGACTGTCTGAACAGCGGTAACTGAACCATGAAGAATGGTGTCTGGTATCCAGTCTGCATAACTCCAATATAAGCAGAGCTTACGACAAGTACAGAGTAATTGAGTATCGAGAAGGAGACAATCTTGGGATAGCCGCCGCCAGAGACACTTGAGATCCAACCACGGCCAAGGATAGTTGAGACGTCACATTAGAGTATTAGAGTACTGGGCCAGAAGCCAAGTGATATTGCAAGTGATAATAATTGTACGGTGTGCAAGAGTGAATGTTAAATAAAAATTCGCTAAATCTGAGACCCACGTAAAGTTATTTGTCATGTGATAATACAATATAGGAAGGTCTGTTGAAGTAAACATTTGTCTGACATCTTTCCTATTCAGAATTGTATGTAGAATGTATTCGTTTCTTGCAGATATGAGCTTTGCTGAGGATGTTAATGTTATCCCTGAGCCAGTTCGTCTGTCTTCCCTTCAGATCACAGGAACATGGGACCAGTTTTTTATTAAATGGGATCCAGTAACAAATGTTAATTATGATCAAGTATTTTATGAAGTCAAGATTTATGATTTTTCAAAGATGGATTTTTCTGAACCAGTAAGTGCTTTGAAATTAGTTAATATGAGCCCTAGTCTGTGTGTGTGAGAGAGAGAGAATTAATTCATAACACATTCTGATTAAGACAGAGTTTATTATTTAACAACATATTTTGAGAAGCAGAGGGAGAGAGACTTTAAAAACAGTTGCTTCGAATCACCTATAACATAAAATATTTTTGTTCTTTGCTTTGTTCAATAGTATTGTATTAGCTGCATAGTTTTCTTGTGCCATTACCAAGAATAAAGAGGTAAGAAGGACGCAGAAGTAAGCATTTGAGACTATTTTAAGATACTACCATTTTATTTAATGTGTTAAACAAACTACACAGAATAAGGTGTTACTTTTGGATGGACATACTGCTCACTCATAAAATTTGAAAGTCATTCAGTTAGCTCAAGCAAATTACACCCAGGGACTACATTGTTTATTAATGGATGGAAAGCTGACACAACCCTCTAAGTTACTAATATGTACACAGAGATATACAGGGGCATGTGGTAGCATAGTTGGTTGAGGAGCTATGCTACAAACCGGAAGGTCGCGGGTTCAAGTCCCGATGAGGTCATTGGATTTTTTTAATTGACTTAATCCTTCCAGCTGCACTTTGGCCCTGGGGTGGACTGACCCTCTAACAGAAATGAGAACCAGGAATTAATTAAATAATTTTCCTGGGGAGTAGCAGCTGGCACGTAAGGCTGACAAGCTTACTGCTGTCTTTGAGCTGACTGTCTATATAACGTGAGACTCTCAACGTCTCACAACCCTATGGGCCTTCATGGCCTCTTACTGGGATAGCTTTACTTTTACTTTTTTACTTTTACACAGAGATATACAGTTTCTACAACATTCTTCATGTTTCAGAAAGTTACAATCGAGCCATTTGTAAACTACTGGAATCCAGGTATGATTCCATATTCAAAACTGCAGATAACAATTAAAGTTTTCACATACTGGGGTGCATCACCTCAGGTTCGGGCAGTCATACACTCACCCCCTTCAGTACCTACTGAACCTACAAATCCACGTGTATTTGTTTCATACTCAAGGAACCCAGTGAGAAAATATCAGGTATGTGGTAATAATTAGTACTTTAATTATTCTAAACCATGCGAAGCATGAACAAATCCCGTGCCAAGGTTAAGAAAGTGTGGAACATATCTTAATGCTCCTTATATGCCTTTAGGATACGATTCTCTGACTCAGGGATTATTTTTGGAGCTGTGATAGCTCAGTCGCCAGAGTGGCTCAAAAGGGCTGGATGGCTAAGGCTCTATTCTTAGCAGGTGCAAAGTATTATTTTTTTTCACACCACATCGAGGCTAATTGTGGTTCCCATCAAGTTTCCCATCCAGTATACACCAGGTGCTACTTTGTGAGGATTAAAGTAGCCAGAGTGTAAAGCTGACTTCTCACCTACACCTGGTTTTGATGTTAAGAATATGTGGAGCTTTATCTCCTCTCATCATATACTTCTGTTTGAAGTAATGGTTAGAGACTAGCAGTTAGTCGATGGCTTCCCACCGCGGCAGCCCGGGTTCGATTCTGGGTCTGGTCAATTGGGATTTGTGGTGGACAAAGTGGCGCTGGGGCAGGTTTCCTCCGAGTACTTCGGTTTCCCCTGCCAATCTTCATTCCACAAATTGCTCCACAATCACCCTCACCTATCATCTGGGGCTGGTACAATAGGCCATAAGTGGCTGCAGTACAAGGGACTTAGTCCCACCCCACTAGCAATAAAAAAAATGGTTAGGGACAATGTATCTTTTATTTACCTTATGTTTTGCCAGCTGAATAAGTTTTTTCTCCATAGGATGTAATGGCTGTGTTCAGATGGGATCCCCCCAAGCATTCTAATGGTATTGTTGAAGGTTATAAAGTAAAGTGCTGGTACTCATTACATGGAACTTACATTCACATATGTGACTCACTGAACATGGATGCCACCAAGCTGGAGTTCACTGCGTTCAATTTGTCACGGAATTCAACATATTACTTTCAGGTACAGCTATTAAACACTGAGTTATTGAATTCTGCTAAATGTCATTCATAATTATATATGTGAGGCGCCACTTTTCTAGAAAAAACATATTAGTTCTTCACTCTAACACATGCACAGAGACCATATATTGTACAACACATAAAGTAATCTGCTTGGTTATAAGGCTTATCCCATGAAATGCTTTGACAATAAGTAATATAAAAGATGTGTGATGGCACATCTTTGATTTTGATGATATGAATTTAATGACAAATAAGAATAAGGCAGTGTTTAGTTTTTTAGCAGCACATTAATTTGTATGCATTAAAGTGTTTAATGTTCTGTTCTTGTTTAAATTAATTTTTAAGTTTATTAAAGATGCATGTAGAAGATTTTTTTAATATAGGCCTACATATAATTACAAGCATTAAGTAAGAACTTATTAATCACATGTTACATAAGAAACAAGCAGATCAACTTTACTTAAGCAAACTGAATGAAGAATGGTTACATTTTCCAGCTGCTAATAAAGTTTGAAATATTTCTACCCCTGCAAATTAGGTCCAGGCATATACAAGGGTTGGCAATGGAGCACTGACAGATCCTGTGCGAGCTGATACAGATGTAGAAGTGCCAGTACCTAAGCTGCTTCTTTCCACTTTTGACGCTGTGAAGATCACCGACTGTGATAAGCACGAAAATCAGACTTTGTCACGGAGCAGTGGACCCCCTGTAGATTTAGCATTCATCAGTCTTGAAAACAGATTCTTCTGGTTAAATGAAATGCAGGAGTTGCTGAGTTATACCCTTGATGGTAAAAGTAGATCTAAGGTATGTAGCATTAAGAACTTGTGAGTTGCAACTTCTTGTATTATGGTGCAGTTTTGCAAGAAATTTTATAATTCCTCGGCTGGACAACAGGTTCTCTGCTCTGTTGAACTCAAAAAGTTACTCAATGTGTTTACAAGTGCCTATCACTGGACTCTGTCCCGAACCATTTCAGTTCATATATTTGCACTCTATTTCTCTAAGATCTATTTCAATTCTACCTTCTGTACCCAGCTGATCTACTCCCTTGGGACTTTAAAAGCAGGAATTATTGTTATACTCATCTCATACTGTTTTCTTTAAACCACCCCAACAGTACTAAATGACTGGAGGCTTGACATGCTTAAAATTTGACAACACCCAATATTGAGAAAATACAAAATTCAGACAGAGGATCTGTAAGAGTGTGTAAAACAGAGACAAGACTATGCAGTATATGAAACATTATAAACTCTGTGCTCCATTAAGGTTGTGTTCTTCTGGTTATGGATCCCTATAGCCTAATAGATAAGTATCAGACAAAGTGGTGTCACATCTCAAAATTCTGTAATCATAAAATCCATTGCTTTGAAAATCTCCAGTCTAGTACATAATCTTAAATCTTTTATTGCTATGCGAGAACTGACAAATATAAGAAAGACTCCCTTGCTCAAGATTAGCAGCAGAACAGCCAGTTCACTGACTGTCCTGACTAAGGTTTCTTCTTGTCTTTCTCGGTCCCTGCAGGCAGATGTCAAGACAACACTTCAAATGAAGCCCTGACCATTTCCTTTCACGTCCTGTCCAGTTAAACGAGTGCTAATATTACCGTATGATGCTAAACAGTCTGAGTTACTGACAGTCATTAAAATACACCATAAACAAATAAATGAACATAGTAAAGAAAACATGGAAAATCAATTATCCCATGCATTGACAGACTGAGTGACTGATTGATAATTCTAGCATGAAATGAGATTGCATCCCTTGGTACTGTTGTCTTGAATATGTGTATTTAAAATCCCATGAGGAAAGTTAGAGTGTCTTTGTGTGTGTGTGTGGAAGGAAATGAACAAAGGAGGTCATGTCTGTGTGAGGATACTGCACTCTTACAGTACTTTTCCAGAATGCTGAGGAATGCCACATAATACCTGTCAGAAAAGCCTGATGCTAGGTTGAGATTCAAACTGGGTACCTGCCGATTGTGTTGTAGAAAGTCTAAACACATCACTATAACATTTGGTCATGAGAGTGTAATGTATATATAAAACAAGGCAGCCTCTAAGCATCAGCTGTATCTCATTATAGGATGCATAACAGAACTTACTCCATCAGCTCAGTTGGGTTACTGGCTGGAAGAGAGTTAAACATTGACATTAGAATAGATTATCTTTCAACTTGTACAATTTCACAATGCTAAACACTGTGTTTGCAGATTGTGACTCTGAACAGTACTGGATTAAGTATTGCTGTAGACTGGGTAGGAAGGTATATCTACTGGTCTGAAATTGATGACAAAATCCCTGGTTCAACTATTTATCGACTAGATTTGAACCAGGCAGAAAAAGGTGTAACATACCCTTCCAAAGTTGTTAGAAGACCCAAGTTCATCCACAGCATTGACATATCTCCTTTTAAAAGGTTAGAAAGTTCTTCATGTTGCTATTACTATGTCATTTGGTGCAGGACACTGGTGGGTATGTAGCATAATAAAATTATTTGTAGATTTATCTTAATTTGTATATTTAACCAATAAACTAGTTGTATAATGTGAAGGCAATTCAAAACATGGATCTTATTATTATACAAAAGCCTGCAAAAATGTCAGGATGAGCCCCCAACATCAAGTATACTGAATACAAGACAAGTTTAAACATGACCTGGGTTTCCAGTATGTTTAGCGTATCTCACAGGATCTAACTGTTAACATGTCTTCTCTAGTTTCTGATTGTACTATTGACAAGCATTATGCTATGACTCAGTGTTTTGTCAAAATGGCTCAAAAACTTAAATCTGGGCTTCTCTCTCATCCACTCTATACTTGAGGCCTCACACCATGCGACTATTATATTTAGACCACTACGAGAAGCATTATGTGGATTGTGATTTTTAAGACATGAAAAGAGGAGTGCATCCTTGACTTCAGGAGAACTGAAATGTTCTTGCTAGACCATGTCAACAGGCAGGTGGTCCAGTGCAACGAGTGTTTTGAGAAGCAGAATGAACACATCAAGAGATGATGGCACCCTTTAGTCTGTTTGCTTCTCTTGGATTTCATAAAAAATATCAAATTGCCTTTACCATCTTAATTAACAACCTATTTGATCCTGTATATTCAAAATACCCACATAAAATAACTCCCAAGATATCAAAATAAATTCATTGAAATTATCACAAAAATTCTCTATAGGTGAACTTCAGCAAAATTTCCTCAGTAAATAAACTGTTTCTGTTTCCATTTCCATCTGGTCATGTTTCATGGCTATCAGAGTAGCTAAAATCAAAGTCTTACAGCTGTCAAAGTAAGCTGATCAGTTAACAGCAATTTTCTTCTCAGAAGAAAGTTCTCGGTGTTCAGGTGTGACAAAATGGAGGTGGTAGTTCTTTAAGCTTTTCTTATAAAAAATAAACATTTAAAATTCCACAAAAGGCAATGTCAAATTTCACTTGTAAATCCAACCAACACATAGTCTGCATATAGATTTTAATACTTTTTAATATTTTACAAACAAACTTTTATCTCTAGTTCATATTTGTGTTCTTTTATGAAACGGTTGTCAGTATGATATGTACTATGAGAAGAAGCCCTGTTTATTAACATTTTGCACTGGCAAATATTGATATGAATATCAGAATCAATAATGTGACATATAATACTAATTCATGATTTACCATTTAATGCAGCATGTATGGATGTCAGATATGTAAGTCTGCATGATGCAAATGATGTGAATACTGTTGTATGTGAATTAAATATTCTGTAATGTAATGATTAGCAATGAAACATATCTTATGATCATATTTCTTCAAAACTTTCCAGCACTTTATTTTGGATTGAGATGAATAAAAGTGGAATGGGTTATCTCATGACAAGCAGAACTGATGGAACTATGATACGACCATTTTTCAGAAGCAACCATAGGAAAAGGTATACCTGTTCTCATACAATGCTTCTTATGCATTTAGTTGCATGAAATTAACTTGATTCTTAATAGGGATGTATGTGTTTTTCATGTGCATGTTTTGCATCTGGAGTCACTTGATGGATTTTAGAAGTATGTGCTAGAGATTGTAGGGTGAATTTCATTCTGATATGAATTGGTCAAGTCTTACCTCTACTTTACATGAGGCTTGAATGTGAATTTAAAATTTCTTAGAAAATATCCAATCCTTATGTTTCTTGTGTATTCCTGCTGGGTCTGATGTTTCATTCCACATACTGTAATGTTTCAGGAGAGACAGTTTGTCAGCAAGTGAATGCAACTGCCCTATGAATCCATATGTTGGAAAAGCAATGACAATTGATCAGTCTGATCCAGCAAATATTCAGGTTCTATGGGTGGATGGTCAGGAGAATCATGTTTATCTAACAGAGGAAAATGGTTGTTTATGTACTGTTGTGGTCAATGCTACTACAAATACAGAAGCAGGTAAACTGTTTTATGTTACTGCTATGAGTGCAAAATGTGGTCTGTCACTGTGAAAGAGGAACACGTGCCAAGAGTGATTAAGAACTCAGTGCTGAGGAGGGTACTTGGCCTTATGATAGATGAACCAATAGGAAATTATACTATATTTGAGGTTCTATCAGTGACTGTTAACATCACAGTTTTCTGGGATGTGACACCATGTAGATTGATAAATAGCTACTAATATTTAAGAAGAATACACTGTCTCCATCTTCCCTCAAGATGGAGGTAGTACACTCCCCTGAAATATTTGTACCTATCTACAAAACTACCGAAAATGTTTCCATCTACCTAAAAAAAAACTACATGGTGTCACTAAACAGGTTTGCTCAAGCAGAAACACTCCAGACTTTTACGAGTATTTGGGGGGGGGGCTGGTTTGAGTCTGAGCTGAAACTGGATATTATGACAGTTGCTTGTTTATGATTTTCCTCATCCCTCCAGGCAAGTGCTGGGATACAGACAGTATCCTTAAATAAACAACAAATATGTAAATGTGAATACATGCCATTACATCCCAGAAGACCATAATCATAAGAAAAGTTTGTAAAAATTATATAATGAAGAACATTACAATTTGTACTGTTCACCACAAACTATTAAAATATTATAACAACAAGGGTGAGGGAGTTTGGACAGGTTTCATTTGGTTTGGAACAGAGGTCGGTGATGAAAATGAACAATAAATGCTCATTCCATGCTCCATAACCTCAACAGTTGTTAGAATATAGAATAATAAGTGTATGATGATGGACAACAACAGAAAAAGAGACTACAGCTGTCAAGACAATCTTACAACTTTGTTTCACTTGATTGAGATGTTGTGGTGATAACAATAATAACTGGGCCATATTTACTTATATTTATTCAATTTGTCAATATGTGAACAATTTCTCTCCAAAATGTTATGCCGATGACATGAAACATAGATAATGAAAGGGTTAGAATGAAGCCATTAATTTATTGCTAATATTTATATAAATTTCAGTGACACTGACAACTGCACTGATATGTCATGTTAATTAGCAGAATATATTTCAGTTGATTTCTATTGAAATATTGTGACATGTTGCGCAAAGGAGAACCCCCCCCCACCAGCAGTGATGCGGCGGGTTAGTCAGCGCTCCCCTCCCCCTCC